AAAAGAAAAAAACCAGAAGTGGCGCTGTGGCTCAAGTGGTAGAGCGCTAGCCTTGAGCTGAAGAGCTGAGGGACAGCACCCAGGCCCAGAGTTCAGCCCCCACGACCGGACCCAAAATAAAATAAAATAAAATAAGCTCAGAACTGATTTGGATGGACAAAATATAGAAGAAATAATCTATTTTTTGCTATGATTTATTTCTATTTGTCCTTCCCCTTTCTCCAAAAAAAGAAGGGGCAGCTAATGTGATAAAGTCTTTGTTCCCATCTGATTTCATCAATGGACTCAAACATTGATAATTTCATGATTGAATTGTGAGATGAGATTACAGGCTTGCACTACTGTGCCTGATAAATTCTCATTAACTTTTGCCTAAGCTGGCTTTAAATCATGATCCTTCTATCTCTACCTCTCAAGCATCTTGTATTTTAGGCAGGAATAAGGGTTTTAAATGTTGTACTGTACTAGCCCAGGCTTACTCCCAGGAGACTTACCTCCAGGGAAGTGACTTAAGCCTGTCCTGAGGTTTTCTTCTCTTTCTCCCAAAGAGTGTCCTGTCACTGCCAGTATCTGCCCGGGGTCGTGGAGGGAGCTGTCATTGACTCACTTAACTCACCAAGCACCTTCAAGGATATCTTCCACTGTTTGATTTCATCCTTAATCACTCTCAAGTAATAGGTACCGTTGTCTCCTTTTCGGACCTGATAGATGTGCAGTGCAGCATTTTGAAGATCAAGTTTGACCCTGTCCTTAAATGCAGAATCGAAGTATTTAGGAGGTCTGCTTTGCTCATATTCTACAATCTTCTGTTTGATGGTGTAGAGCCAAGTTACAGAGGTGGCATTTTCTGGTAGGCTTTCAGAGATTTGCAGAGTCACGTTGCTGCCAGATAGCACAATCTTCTCCAGTTCTGAACTATCTGCTGGTAAAAGTCAGAGAGAGTGAGTCCCATGTCATAGAAAGCAATGTTGCCCAGTAACCAGGTTTTAACTTGCGATAGTGGACCTGGGAAGAAGAAAGGGATTTCTGTTGGGAGTGGTGTGTATGGTCTTCATCAGCGCTACTTGTTCCTCATTGGGAATTCTGTCAAAGTTGAAACTGGAGAACTAAGCTGGAGGATCAAGGAGAGTTGTTTATAATCTCACTAATTCCATCCCAGATAATAAAGAGAAAGGACACTGAACTCACCCTGGTTTTCTCCCTTCTTTTCATGCCAAGAGATTTTTTCAAATAAATTGATTGCAAAGGAGAGAGCCTCTCCAGCTCTACATTCTATCAAGAGTGTAGAGAAAAGGGGTGAAGGAAATACTGGGAAAATCTCCTTGGGTGAGATGGGACTGAGTCAAAGGATGTTGAAAGACTAGTGTTTGCTGAGAACCATGAACCAGGCAGTATGTAGGGCACTTGTGATACATCAATGAACTAAATAGCAAAGAGCTTTGAGCTAGCAGTGTAAGTAATAAATACAATGATTAACTCTGTCATATGTTAGGAAGTGATGATTGCTGTGACAAAAGAGAAATCCTAAAATAGAAAAACTCATGAGTATTGGTAGGGATTGATGGCTAGCAGATATAGTTTTTAGAGTTGATCATGTCTAAATAAAGACTTGAAGGAGGAGAGAAGAAGTTCATCTGGGGTATGAGTGAACCAAGCCGGTTGCTGGTGGCTCACGCCTGTAATCCTTAGGAGGCTGAGATCTGAATATTGAGCTTCAAAGCCATCCAGGGCAGGGAAGTTTGTGATACTCTTATCTCCAATTAACCACCAGAATACTGAAACTGGCGCAGTGGCTCAAAGTGGTAGAAGCGCTAGTCTTGAGCAAAAGAGATCATAATAGGAACAGATATGATCCTGCCTGTGCCCCTCCCATGTTGTCTATTACAAAGTTAACACTGTTTATCACCCAATGACCACTAGGTGGTGCCAGGCCTCTGGTTGTTTTTGAGTCTTCCTTGGGGTAAGGCCGAGCCATGTGAGTGAAAACAAAACAACACAAAAAAACCATTAAGTCCCATCGTGATCTTGCTGCAAACATGTGAGAGGTCGTGGGTGAGAAGTGCTGAACACAGCTCCCCACCCACCACGTTCATGAGCGCAGTAAGTGGTGACTCTTATTATTAGCCATACTATTGGGAAAGCCTGCTAAAAAGCAGTAGAAAGCCAGAATAAAGATGAGTCAAACTTTGAACACATGTCTGGACACACTAGAAGAGAAATCTAAAAGATGGAAATTCTGCTGGGTGCAGGTGGCTCACGCCTATAATCCTAGCTACTTAGGAGGCTGAAATCTGAAGATCTCAATTCAAAGCCAGCCCAGGTAGTAAAGTCCATGAGACTCTTATCTCCAATAAACCACCAGAAAACCAAAGTGGCACTGTGGCTCAAGTGGTAGAGCGCTAGCCTTCAGCTGAAGAACTGAGGGACAACGCCCAGGCCCAGAGTTCAAGCCCCACAACTGACAAAAAAGAAAAAAAGAAAAAAAAAAAAGAAGAAGAAACCCCCAAAATGAAAAGTCCAGAGAATAACTGACCAGGTATTTTTGACCAGACTATAGAAAATCTCTAACTATTCCAGTTTTGGCAGCTGTATCTTTACCAACAGTTGATGTTCACATCAGCCAATGCTTCTCATCAAACCCTACTGCAGATGCCATAGCAGTGTTGTCCGAGTTGAGGCAGTCCCACAAGGCCACATAGTTACAAAGGGTCCTGAAAAGCAGTGTGTTCTTACACTCACAGTCATAGACCAGCCCAGACCAACCAGACCAAAGGACTGCTGCCCTGAGAAGCCCTGTATAAATGATCAGTCACATTTCCTCTAGACATTTCTAACTCATCTCACAATTTTTGGATGCTTTGTAACTGCCTCATGTTCATTTTAACCATAGTGCTGAACATCAAAACCCTTCAATGAAAAAAAAATACTTGAGTACTTACTTAGGGAAAAGCAAGAAAGACTAAAGCTTAACTCATTCTCAGCTGGCCTGATAAGGTAGTTCCTGGTTGAAGACGGTTAGGCTGCCCTAACAGAAAAAGGAAAAAAAGCTCAGGCTTTAGCCACGTGAGGAGAACCAGGATAAGCTGTGGCAGAAGAGTAGACCTGAGCTCTTAACAAACAGGTATTTGAGGCTTCTTTATACCAAGGCATCTTGGGTCTCCTCTCGGACCCTGATAGAAACTCTATCCAGAAACAATTATCCTACAATTATGAGTTATCTCTGAGGGAAATGATACCATTTACCATCATTGTATTTACCTTTATTATTCATTTATCTCAGAACAGAACTTCTTGCATATGAAAAAATCTCAAAGAAGGTTTAAAGGAACTCTAGATGTCTAAACATCAAAAGGCAGCTATTGGTGTAGTGCTTCCTCTTATTTAAAATACAAAAACACTTCTCTGAACTTCTAGCAACCATGGGGTGAAGCATAAGGGGCCTACTTCCTCATCACCTCAAGCCTCATTTTTGTCATGTCCACTTGGGTTTTCCACCTCTTTTGAGATAGAACTTCATTCTCCAAGAGGAAAGAAGGCTGCCTAGCTGGGTGCCAATGGCTCACAATTGTAAACCCAGCTACTTAGGAGGCTCAGGATGGAGGTTGGAAGTCAGCTTGGGCAGGAAAGTCCTAGAGACTCTCATCTCTACTAAAAAGCCCAAAGGTAGAGCTCTGACTCAAGTGGTAGTGATCTAGTCTTAAGCAAAAAAGCTCAAGGACAAGGCTCAGACCCTGAGTTCAAGACACACACACACACACACACACAAGTTGACCAAACACACCATATCCCTGCTACTATAATGGGAGAAGCTGTTGAAAAGATCAGCCCTACTTCTAGGGTTGGGCTACACCCCATCTCCTTTCTCATCTGACCATGCTTCCCATGCCTCCTATACATAATCACGGGCAAATGGTTGGCAGAAAATACCTTGCATGCTAGTCACCAGGAGAGACAGTAGTAGTAGGTCCAGAGTCAAAAACCAGTTCCTTCTGATGGAGTACATGCTACTTTCCAGAGCATCCCAGGAATGTAGGCGAAACCTAAGAGCTGGGGTAGATCAAGCTACCTAAAAAGGAACCAGAGGCAGGAAGAAAACACACCACTTTTCTCTCCACTCAGCATGTTGGGGAGGGACTCAGAAACAGGAAGTTGAATATTTCTCTCTCTTTAAAAAACTGAAAACACCATGACAACATATATGTACTCATTTAGGTAGGGAGAAGATTCACAACTTCTATTGGATTCTCAGAGGGATCAGCTCTGAAAGGATTGAGAGTCCTTGATAATGAATCAAAGGAAGAAATTGCTCGTATTAATTCAGGAGCTAAAACATGGGGGATAGGTTTCCTTCAGAACAGAAAGTCTGAGAAATCAGATCAAAAGTGCTTTTTAGTGCAGTATCTCCCACCCCCAGCTCTTCTCTCAGGATGAACTCACTGTTTGACCCTTTACATCAGTCTAGCTACTGCACATTAGTAGAAAAGAATGGATTCCTGACTCTGTGCTCTAAGAAATTTGGACCATTCTCTCTAATTCATTGAAGCTTATTTGCCTACTTAGGAATCTTTCAGGGACTCACTAGGTGGGTAAACCACAGTCCCTGACACAACATATTTGTAATCATTTCTAAATTGGGGACATTTCTAATTCTCACAATGGAGGTGAGAAAAAATGATCTCTCTCTTCCACCTGTGAACTATAATGGAAGGAATCATCTCTCCCAAAGGGCTGTCAAAGGGAAACTGGGTCAACTCTGTGGGGTGGGTGGGCAGTTACCATTAGTGACACCTTATTTAAATTCAGGATCAGACAGACCCAGGGTCATGCTGCAATTCTAGCCAATCCTCTGTTTATTCTCCATGCCTATGAGGATACCAAGATCATGAGTTTGGACCCTGCCTACCACAAATCAGTCCTGACCAGGGTCTACTTTTTCTTTCTTGCTGCCTCTCTATTTCCTCTGCCTTTTCTCCTAGTGTGGGAGACAGAAATCCTTCATACTAGAAGAGATGTGACCTGAGCAAATGAGCAAAGTTTAAGTGGAATTACCTAGAAGAAATTTTAAAGTAAACCATTAAAAGGAACTAAAGAGCAAGGGTTGAAATTAAATGACGACAGAAACATGCTGTGGGTATGCTTTGCTTGGACTCTGAAATTTCTGAGAAGCCATTTCCTCAGCTATTGTAATTAGAAAGAGGAAGGAGATGGGTCTGGGAAGGTGGCTCAGTGGTAGAGCACTTGCTTTGCATACCTGAGGCCTGGGTTCGATTCCTCAGCACCACATAAACAAAAAGAAAAAAGCTGGAAGTGGCACTGTGGCTCAAATAGTAGAGCACTAGCCTTGAGCTGAAGAGCTGAGGGACAGCACCCAGGCCCAGAGTTCAGGCCCCATGACTGGAACCCCCCCAAACAAAAAGAGGAAGGAGAAACAGAGAGCAGGGCTAAGTTCTAGTTCTCAAGAGCAGGTAGGGAGGTAGAGAAGAATGAGTACTGAAATGTATGAAGCAGCCTAGAAGCTTCCACTGGAGATCATCTTTACTGCCAAAGAAAGGGTCCTGAGTGGTGATTAAGCCTGTGTCCACAGTGCTCATCCACCCTCCCTCCCTTTCCTCCTTTCTTACTGCAAGCTTTCTTCTGGCTTAATGATTAGGCTCTTCTACCTCAAAGCACCCCCTTTCCCATGTCTGTCTATTCTCCAGCTCCTTGAATGGATGTCCTAGAGTCTGGCTACTCTTAAGCATCTGAGCTATGAAGGGAAAGAGATAAGACAAAGATTTGATTTGAAGTTGTTTCCTTCTTTCTAAAACTTGTGTGGCCTTCACAAGGGCCCCATGATGGTGAGGCAATGAGATAGGGTATGAATGAGGATGTTAACATGCTTGTTGCCATTTTGCCCATTTGCCCAGAAACATACCAGTGCCCTCTGTCTGTGAAGTCAATGCAATCTACATGCCCTCTTGTCTCCTTCTGTGTGCTTGCTGTTTCCTTTTCCAAGAGTACCTCTCTCCCCTTTTCAGTATCTTCAAGGATGACCCATGGGCCACTGAAAGTAGCTCAGGATTTATGCCCTTTAATGACCCTCCCAATCACCTCCCGTTCTACTTGCTCTGGACTCCTTATTTCTGGTGTCTTTTTCTTGTCATTTAGCTGAATTTGCAGCCCTCACAGCTGCCAGACAAGATGAGGACATTGTAGAAATGTTTCTAGTGCAAAAGAACATATGGATATTATTTGAAAAAAAAAGGTTTACCAAAATGAGATGAAAAGTGAAAAGTAAATGATAAATCATCCATAATCTCCTATATAGAAAAAATAACATAGGGTATTTCCTTCCAGTGTCTTTTTCTATGCTTATGCACCATACAGCTAGATAACTTGGGTCTTATGGCAAATGTAATTTATATATGACTTTTGTTACTTATACCATGAGCATTGTCCCAGAATAGTAAGCTTTTGGTTTTTTGGGTTTTGTTTTTTGTTTTTTGTTTTTTTTTTGCCAGTCATGGGGCCTGAGCTCTGGGCCTGGGCGCTGTCCCTCAGCTCTTCAGCTCAAGGCTAGCGCTCTACCACTTGAGCCACAGTGCCACTTCTGGCTTTTTCTGATTATGTGGTGCTGAGGAATCGAACCCAGGACCTCATGCATGCAAGGCAAGCGCTCTACCACTGATCCACCTTCCCAGCCCCAGAATAGTAAGATTTGTCAAAAATAAGCTATCAATAATGAAGTATTATTCCACTACCAAGAAAAAAAATGATGTTACTTGAAGGAAAATGAATGGAATGGAGGTCATCATGAAGTGAAATATACTACACTCAGAAAGACAAATATAATGGAAAGATTTGGAAAAAATTATATTAAGTGAAGTAAGCCAGGCCCAAAGAAACATAATCCCATGGTTTCCCTTATTTTCAATAACTAGCATATGTCTGAGACAAGCACAAATGGTCAGATAAGTTGATGTTAGGCGAAATGAACCCCAAGATAAGGATTCAAATGTTTTTTTCTTTCTTGTGATTGTTTCTAACACATTTATAAGATGATTTCTTTGTTGCTTTGTATGTCCCTCCCCCATGATAGAAGCCCTGTTTTCACTGTATTTGATGTTGGTATACTTTGTGGAGGGGAAGGGAAAAAAACAAATTATTTAAATAGGGATACAGGTTGACCCATTGCGACAATGAGATGTACAAGTTGTTATGTCAAAAAATGAACTTTACAACTTTGGGAGGGAGGGAGGGGGAAGGGAGAGGAGGAGAGATGGGAAGGGATGGGAAGGATGAAACAAAGGAGGAGACAACAATGCTTGATAAGAAATGTTCTCATTACCTTGCTCGTGTAACTGTAACCCCTCCTCTGTACAGTATTCTCACAATAAAAAACTCATTAAAAAAAGACAAATATTACATGTTTTCTCTCCTTTGTAGACTCTAGATTTTTTGGAAAAAAATATGCAAGCAGAAGGGAAATAATTGGGGAGAGAAGAACAAACAGGAGGAAGGAGGAGGACAAAAGAGTGATGGGATTATGGGGGAGTAAATTCGAGGAAAGTCCTAGTTGGCAGGTATGAAAATGTCATTGTTAGGTCCACCCAGGAGAAATGGTCAGTTCCCTTCCCTTGGGGACTTCTAGAGATCCCCAACCAGCACCTGTAACCCAGGCAACTGGCATGCCTGGAGGCAGTGGGAAATCCCTGAAGCTCTGCGGTCATTTCCTCATCCTTCAGGTCACCTTTGCTCTTGCTATGGCCACAACCCCTCCCTTATCCTCCTCCCATGAGTTCTCTTGCCCTGCCCACCTCCGTCTCGTGTGGGGCCAACAGTTTTTGTGGGTGATTTTTTTTCTCTTTTTCTCTCTCTCTCCTAATAAACCCTTTTCTACCTGAGCCACACGGGAGTTTCCTTTTGGCAAACCTTACGGTCATGACAAATCCCATTATTTTGAACACTCAATTTTAAAAAATAAGATATTGAATGGAAATTTAAGGTTTGTTGATATAGATATACTATCCTTACTGAAGCCATCTTTCATTGTTTCAAATTTATGGTGCACAGAGACTTTTCAGAGACTAGAAGGTACTGACCCTCAGGGAAGAAGGTGGAGAGGGGACTGGCTGCTACAGGCAGGAGGTGAGGGGTGTGGTCATAGTTAGAATATGAGTCCCCCAAGTCCTATATATTAAACATTTGGTCCCCAGCTGGTAGTGTTGTTTTGAGAAATTCTAAACTTTAGGAGGTAGGAAGTCACGAGGCGGTGAGGGTTCCCCTCTGGGGCTGTGTCATGTCCTTGACTGTTCCTGTTTCGCTCTGCTTCCTACGTGCAGTGAGGTAGCGAAACTCCATACAAGCTCCCCACTTCCACACTGTTACAATGTTCTGGCCAAGGTTATGGGGCCAAGCAACTATGGACTGAAACTTCTAAAATCTGGAGCAAAGATAAATCTTTCCTCTTTTGTTTATGTCAAGCATTTTTGTAACAACAACTTTTTAAATAAGTTTCTTATTGTGAAAATACTGTACAGTAATGAGTACATTTCTTATCAAGCATTGAACAACATTTTTTTTAACGTGACTTTACATGGAGACAAATGGAAGGTAGACGAGTTTGAGGCTCTTTTAGAAGAGAAAGGAAGACTGAACGGATGGCAGAGTCTGAGGCAAGGGGAAGTGGGCAAGTCTGCGAGTGGCAGGCTCTATTCAGAGGCTGGATATGTGTCCCACTGGGGACCTGTGTGTGGACCTTCCAGATCTATTGAGTTAGAAGTCAAACATTTGGAGAATGGTTGGTCTATCTATTTGTGTAGACTCCATCTTCTCTTCCATCTTAGTTTAAGATAATAAGCAAGATTTTATTTTGTACCAAGGAATTACATCACTCAAAGAAAATGTACCACTGCTTTGAGTCTGCCTTTACCCAACAGTAAAACTGGGAATATCAGATGACCCATGAAGATTTTCATGAGAAGTAAACAGAATCTAATACAATTCTCAAAGATCTGCGTAGATGAGTTGATACTCATAAATACAGCTTGATATGAAACAAAGGAATGAAACATAAACTTAATCTTAGGAAACTTCTTCTTTCT